CCTTTCCCCTGGGGGGGCAACGCGAGCCGTGCAAAAGAGGAATAGGGGAGGAAAATGGCGTCTGGGATCCGCCTACCTGGTGTTCCTGGCTCCTCCTGGCTTATCTTTCTTCTCTATCTTTCCTTCGTCCTCGCTTGGCCCGTCTCATTCGGCCCTCGCTTTCACCGGTGCTTCGGTGTCTCCTCACGCTCTGCCTGCCAGCCTCTCTCTCGAGGGGCACCTACTCCCCCCCATTTCTTTTCCTCCAGTTTCCGCCCCCACCTTCCTCCATATTGTCAATCCCTCATCCTCGTGCGGACCCTGGGGTTATCCCCTGCTGGTGCCCGCGCCGCGCCGCCTGTGAGTTTTTTCTTGTTCGGCTCTCCGATTTCATGTCACTGCTCTGCTTATTTTTACATTGTCCCATGCCAGCTCTCTTCTGCCTCCATCCTGCAGCGTGGCTGATGTGTGTTTTCCCATACCCTGTTTCATTTTCAGTGCTACAGATTCCATCCTTGTGCTCCAAGCTATTACGACAGAACTTATCCTACTTTAGAACCGTGTGCTACTCAGACTCTGTTTTTTCATTTGCATATGTTCTTTTCACTGCCAGTTTAAACATGCCACTATTCCTTTTTCTTTCCTGAGATACGGTTCTTTAACCTTTTCTTAGCCTTTCCTAACTGTAGTTTATTTTATACGGTTTCTCTCTGGGATGCTTATTTTTATTCTGAAATAACAAAAGAGCTATTTGTTACAAAGAGTTTCTAGTAGCAGGCAAGATATGCAACTGCTATATCTAACCACATGTTTGCATACTAGAATGATTCAGAAGCACACCTGGCAGCATGTATTCAAGGAAAGTTGAATGTCCACTTGTCTGGCAAATGAATAGACACTAGTGACTGATGTCTTGAAGTTGCAGTGGAAATATTAATTGCAATACTGTAGTTCACTGTAACTGAGGTGTTTTTCAGACTTCTGTATTATTGGTGGGAACTTTACCTTTATATATGATGATTATGCAGCGTGTTGCTTGCAAATCCAACTGGGCTAAATGCCCATGTAAGAGTATAGATAATGCTAGGGCCTTAGTAGTTTATATTTGTGAGTGTAATACAAAGAATTCAACTGGACAACAGTATTGTGTTGTATTTTTTACATTATGGTTTCTGCCATATTTAGGGCTGTATGAAACTGGTGAAAAACTGTCCCTTTGTAAACAGTTAAGAAAATAAACCACTGCATTTGATGCAGTTGCATCAAAAAGGGGAAGAGATGTAAGAGGGAAGAGTGTTTGAGATCACATCTACAATGTGCGTTAAAGCTTATGTGAAAATGCAGGCAAGTCTTTTGGAGGGTTTTCAATAAGATGAAAACCTTTACAAACAGGTTTGACGATGGCTTTCCAGCCATAATGGGACATATTCCTTGTCTAGTGTTCTCACGTTATTTTTCTCTTCCTAGAATGCCTAAGTCAAAGGAACTTGTGTCTTCAAGCTCATCTGCCAGTGATTCAGATAGTGAAGTTGACAAAAAGGTGAACATTATATGCAGTTTATTACTGCTGTATTAACTTGTCTATTTCAGGCTGGGGTTAAGGAATTAGGTGTGCATAATGTCACAACATGCATGTCATTCCATACAATTTATCAGGCACTTAACCCAAACCACCTCCCCCCATCTCCCCCTGCCTCCCCCAACAACTACAACAACAAAATACCTGCCAAGGTTAGTGTTTGCGTGGATAGGATGCTTTTTGCCTTGCAGTACACTTTTTTCCTTAAGTCGCATTTTGCTTTTTTCAGGGTTTTCCATATGATATATCTAACCGCAAGCTTCCTGGAATTCTTTGCTGCTTTGTGGCAAGTGATAGAAGGCTTCTGTATAAGCTGCCCCTGGTGGCAAGAATTTGGACTAATTTTGAGAACAAACACCCACCCACCCCCCATTTTGGTATCTGGATTATTTGTCCAAAGCAAAAACCTCTACTTGCCCTGTCCTCCATGTGCCACTTGCTTGTCTTGTTTGCATGTTCTTTTTCTCCATTTCAGATTCTTAGATTTACTGTAATACCATCTGCTAGTTTCTCAATTAAAAGCTGACCCAACCTGAATGTCTTTGAGTTGATTAATTTTAACATATGATGAATGTTTTAAATGGGAACACTCAATTTATACATTTATTATTAATATTTATTTAATTTGTAAGTTTGTATAGATGTACCAGTCATTATGAACAAAACCAGAAAACGCCAGTGAATTTATATTTTTAAGAAATGCTAGATGGTAACACAGACATCAGGTGTTTTAATGTAGTACATGAAGAGACTTGGTCTGCTTTACTGAATTGGTTCAAATATCGCACTTTGCAAATTAGGCATTCTGTCAGATCTTAATATAAGAGAAAATGGTTGGGGGATTTTTTCTGATAGGGAACTGTATTCCTGAAAAGGCATAGTCTTAACAGTCTGCTTTAGTGGGCAGTAAGGTGGTTTGGTGTTTGGTTTTTTTTTTTCCTATTATAACCTCCTGTATTTGTTGGAACTGTTTGTCTTTAAAAGACGTTATCCACATATGATTCTAGCAGGTGAGACTAATTTTTTGGTATCTTTGTATTACTCTTTCTGGGGAGGGCATGGTTACTGTATAACCATTAGTAGAAATGGTAACTTTGTAGCATCTGCAGGTAATTTGACTTAGCTGTTTGAATGTTTTAAAAACATGTTTAATTTATCATGCTATGGACAGAGATTGGATGCTGATTTAAAAAAAAAAAATTACTCTGGTGGAGGTGATTTCCAGATCCTTTCTTCATTATCTCATCTAGGTTTTTTTCTTTTTTAGAAGAGTTGTAAGCTGTCCTGCAGTTTTTGTTACACTTAGTGGAAAGGAAGGTGACGCTTCCATCAGACTTTAAATTTTTTATTAAAACTACTGAACTGACAGTATTACTGCGCAGAAAGAGCAGGATTTTTGAAATGTATTTTGATCTAATTCAATTGTCTTTAAAGCCAGAGTGTTACAGTAAACTTAACTGAGAACAGAATTAGGCTCATTTGAAGATTTTTAGTTTTTTTCTAAATTCCAGTCTAAATGTACAGTATTGTATTCCTGCTTTCACAGCAGGAAGGTGATAATGTGCATTGCATAGTAGTTTTTTGTGACCTGTAACGTAAACTTTTCTGTAACTTATAGAATGAGTTGTGGTTCATGCTTTTCTTTTTTTGTTCTTGCTCCAAGGCAAAGCGGAAAAAGCAAGCAGCTCCAGAAAAGCCTGTAAAGAAACAAAAGACGGGTGAAAGTTCAAAAGGTGCAGCTTCTTCTAAGCAAAGCAGTAACAGAGATGAGAATATGTTTCAGGTAAAATTTATGACTTTTAGAGCCTAGTTAAGGTAACATGTTACATCATATTCAGTATAAATCTTATGAAGTGATCTGAATATCTTGACAGCATAGTGCTTGGTCTCCTGAAGCCTTGGCCAAAGGGGATTATGATGCTAGCACACAGATGAGATGCTCAGAAAAAGCATTGTCAGGTTTCAGCAGAGTAAAACAATGTGAGTGGTAGCAACTGATTTAACCCTCACATCTTTGCCCATGGTAACTCTGGGTCGTCATTTTGTCAGTAAATACAGCACTTACCATGAGTATACTGTAAATATTAGATCAGAACTGTCAGTACATGGAAATGTTTTTTAATCAGGGCTCTTGAAAGAAAAGTTCATGGAAACCAAAGTATGGACTCTTCATTCCTATTTAACTAGGTCAAGGGCAACTTGGCTCCTGCATTATAAGGCAGCGTCTTGGAATAAGTTTTGCTTGTTCCTTTGTTTTATGATGCATGTTTTTTTCACAGAACATCCAGAAAGATTGAAATTTTTGACATGGTCCTTGTTTTCAAGTCGGGATGAATGTTCATTTTTCAGTAGCAAAATGCATTTGTGAATTCAGGGTATTGCAGTTCCTGGGATTTGCTGAGGCAGTAGCAGTGTGTGCTGAGAGCTGTGCAAGAATATACGTAGCTTAGAATTACCTGTTTTAGGGGTGTGGGTCAGGAATTGTTAAATGTCTCTGACTAGCTGGCTGGAAAGTAGCTTAAATTCTTAGAGACTTTGGTTCTTAAGTTTGTGAAAGGATGTGGGAGAGGTGCCTAATAAGATGGCCCCAACAGTGAGTAAGGCAAAAGAAACTCTTTGGGGCTGTAGGTGTGCAAAGTAATGTGGCAAAAAAAAAAAAAAAATCTTCTAGAGAGAAGACCTGCTTAACTGATATTGTAATAGAGGGCAGTTATTTTTAATGTATCAGTTCTGACTTTCCTCTTCACGTGTAGTTGGCAGAGAGAGCTTCAGTTGAAGACAATGCCCGGACTTCCCCATCAAAGGAAGAATATAGTATTTTTAGTTCTGCTGGGGCATGCTTTGAACCATGTAGGAAAAATGAGATAGTGTCTTCTACACCTTATGAGGTGAACTGCAGTTAGAACTCAAAAAAAGCTATGTATAAGCTTTATGCTATGTTTGTAATAAGTGCAGAAGTTCCAGCCTTGGAGAAAGCTGTTAAAATTTTTAATGCTCCCCTGATGCAAAAAAACCCCAAACCCTTTCAAATAAAACCAAAAGTATTTGTGTGCTCCGATTTCTTTGAACCTTTTTGACCTAAGATAATAAAAAGTTACTAAAAAGAGACAGTACAGGACTCATGTTAGTCTGATAAGAACAGGATTCTTCCAGTGTTGAGTATAATACAGAACAAATATTTGAATATCACCTTGACCTAAAACATCAGTGTTACTTAGTCTCTGCCTGCCTTTTAGTTAATCAACAACAAAATTTTTTTTAGATCGCTTATTGTATTATGTGAAGTATTGTGATTTTTTTTTCATGCTACATCAGCTTATGCGTGTTAACTAAGATGCAACTGTTTCAGTGCAGAAACAGCAGGTCTGAGCATACTTCCCCTCTCTCCGCCCTACCCAGGAGAGCATGTTAGAAGATCTAGTTGTGTGTTAATTTTTTAGGTATGGTTTTGTTTGTTCTAGGACTACTAGTAATACTAGAAACTCCCCTTTCTACTTTCCCATGGCAGTAAAATGATCTCTGATGTGCCAGTGACTTTGCAGTATAACTTAAAAATGTGGCTTCAGTTGATGGAAATCATGCTGTAAAGCATCTGTAAGATAGTCAGAAGTTCTGTAGTGTCCATATTGTGTATGGGAGTGGCAGCAAATGATGTGAAACTTAGAGGCTTGTTCTACACTCTCAGGGTGTGTTCTTAAACTATACATCTTTCCTTAATATAGAGCTCATTGTGACTGCTGTATTTGGAAGATTCAGCATTTTCATAAAGATCTACATTTTATTGGTTTTGTTTCAGACTAATGTTGGTGTAATGGTATTCTTGAGATTAATTATGAAGAATAGTATAAATATAAGTAGAAGGGAATTAATTCAGTGTAAGACACCAAGTGTATTTTATTTATTTACATGTCTTGGCCTTTTTAGGTTTTATAGGTAGCCTAGTATACTTACTTTGGAATTTGTTAAAGGATTTGGGTGCAGTTGGGGTATAGAAATTTATCTTACTCCCATTTCTGATGTATTACTGGAGGCCCTAAGGACAAGCATTATTCATGTTAATGTAGAAGGGTTTAGTGTTGATACATTAAATTCCTGTCCGTGGCTTCAAGCTACCGTGAGGTCTGCATCATGTACTTTGGTTAGTTTGACAGATCCTGTCATCTACCTATGCCTGATTTGGATAAGGTTTGTTAATGCTGTCAGGATGCAGTATTAATTGACTACCTAGAGTGGAACCACGTTGCATGATCAGGCATTTCACTGAAATTGTTACTTCGACAGTTGCCTGTCTGTGTGTTGTCTCATCTCTCCACCACCTTGCTCCTTTTATTTGTTATATTTATTTTAAAGTTTGGGTTGTATTTGTTTTTTGACTTGTGAGAAATAAGTTCTTCAGTTTCCCTGTGTAATGTCTTTACCTATCAGTAGATAAATACATAAGATTATGATGCTCTGGAAAGGTGATTCATTTAGCACATGAATTCTGAAACTTAGGTGGTCACTGATGCATTTCACAATCAGTTTGCTGTGTTGCAGATCTCGCTGTTCACATGACTCTTTATTGTGCTCCTTCTAATGCTATACATATAGGTATCAGATAAGAAAGAAGGATGGTTTTTTGGTGTTTCTGCTTCTACAGTGTGTATACAGTTTAATCAACACAAACTGGAAATAGGAGGAAGAACGGTAAAGAAGGTGGTTGCTGAAACTCATACAGGAAGTCGGTTGCATAGCTGTGACGGGAACCAAGACACAGTTCAGTGCATTTTATTCTAAGAAACAGAAACCTGGAAATAATGCTTTTAATGTCTTCTGATTTATGTAATTCAATACAGTCTAAGGAGCTGTAATATTTAATAAAAAGCATATGAACTTGTCTGTGAAGGTTGAACTGCAGTAACTACGCTGCTATAAATCAATACAGCCCTTGGAACACTTGTGATTACAGAGATACAAAGATGTCTCAGATCTGTGAAATTATTCTAGGACTGTCAGCTGCTGTGTGAAAAAAGAATTGTTCAGAAATGAATCTGTGCCAGAACTGCAGGTAACTGAACATCAAGAAGCATCAATTTACTTAAATGGTTAAATCTAGATTTTGGTTGAGCTTTTTAACCTTAGATGTTCATTGAAACTGTACTTCAGAAGCCTACTTAAAGGTTTTAGCAGTGGCAGCTTTTGCGTAGAGTTCAACTAAACATTCAAAATTTAATGTGAATATTCAGCTGCAATCTAGACAGTGGTATCTACTTGCATCAAAGATGATGATGCTGCATCAAAAGAATCGTGACCAGCAGGTCAAGGGAGGTGATTCTGCCCCTCTGCTCTGCTCTGGTGAGACCCCACCTGGAGTACTGCATTCAGCTCTGGGACTCCCAACATTAGAAGGACATGGACCTCTTGGAGCAGGTCCAGAGGAGGGCCACAAAGATGATCAGGGGGCTGGAGCACCTCCTGTGAAGAGAGGCTGAGAGAGTTGGGGTTGTTCAGCCTGGAGAAGAGGAGGCTCCAGGGAGACCTTCTAGCAGCCTTCCGGTACCTAAAGGGGGCCTACAAGAAAGCTGGGGAGGCACTTTTTGCAAGGGCATTGTCATGGTTTAACCCCAGCCAGCAGCTAAGCACCATGCAGCTGCTCACTCACCCCCCCATCCCCCCCCCCCCCCCGCAATGGGATGGGGGAGAAAATTGGGGAAAAAAAAGTAAAACTTGTGGGTTGAGATAAGAACAGTTGACTAGAACAGAAAAGAAGAAGCAGTAATGATAATAATAAAATGACAATAATAATAATAAAAGTATTGGAATATAGAAATGATGCATAATGCAGTTGCTTACCACCTGCCGACTGATGTCCAGTTGGTTCCTGAGCAGTGACCCCCTGAGGCCAATTCCCCCGAATTTATACACTGGGTGTGATGTCACATGGTATGGAATACCATGTTTAGCCAGTTTGGGTCAGCTGCCCTGGCTGTGTCCCCTCTCAACTTCTTGTGCCACTCCAGCCTTCTTGCTGGCTGGGCATGAGAAGCTGAAAAAGCTTGAGTTAGTATAAACAATACTTGGCAACAACTGAAAACATCAGTGTGTTATCAATATTCTTCTCATACTGAACCCAAACCATAGAACTATACCAGCTACGAGGAAGACAATTAACTCTATCCCAGTTGAAACCAGGACAGGCATGTAGTGATAGGATGAGGGCTAATGGCTTAAAACTGAAAGAGGGTAGATTTAGCTTAGATACAAGGAAGAAATTCTTTACTATGAGGGTGGTGAAACACTGCAACAGATTGCCCAGCAGGGTTGTGGATGTCCCCTCCCTGGAAGTGTTCAAGGCCAGGCTGGATGGGGCTTTGAGCAACCTGGTCTAGTGGAAGGCGTCCCTGCCTATGGCAGGGGGGGTGGAACTAGATGATCTTTAAGGTCCCTTCCAACCCAGACCATTCTGTGATTCTATGTAAAACCTGACAATTTCAGCATTTTCATATGGAACTGTTTCCATTTAAGGTAGACTTGGTAAATGTGAACTTTGCATTATTGCCCCTCGCCTTATAGTAGTTGAATTAAGACATACAGTCTTAAAATTTAAATCCTAAACCCTTTTACTGTATTTGCAGCTGTAGTCTGCTATATTGTATTAGATTTTATTTCTTTGAGCAAATCTGGAATTACTTGGCCCTGCACTAATATTCTGTGATAGCTCTGGGGAAAAAAAGGTGTTGTGGAATACTACTACTTGAAGCTGTTCTTAGAGGTGACCTTGAAAGTCACTGAAGTGTTAAAGGGTAAAACCAAGAAATGTTGTCCATGTAGGCTATTTAGGATATTCTTTGCCAGCAGTGCTGAAGGACCTGGGCATGGTACCAAGTTTGGTCTGAAAGAACTAAGCTACCATGACATCGTGCCTTATTTTTGAATGTTAAATTTGTAGTACTGTGGAAGTATTTAATAAAGCAGTCAAAAAATACTATCTTGTAATCTGTAGCATGTTGTTCATTTTAAAGGATGCTTTGAAGTAGGAAAACTGCTTCAGGCTTATAGTATCTAAAGATGTCCTAATTGTTTTAAAGTCGATTTTGGAGTTAATTTAGCGTGATCTGCTTAAGAAGAAGAATTACTTTAAGCAAACATAAATCATTCTTGTTTATTTTGTGAAATAACAGCTTATGACTTAAACATCTGTGGATGATTTTAGTTGATTAGACAGTTACTCAACCTTTCTGGTCAGACTTAAAGCTATTAGGGTGGGTTTGGGCTCTCGTTAAATTGTATCAAAATGCAAGATGCATAAACTAAGAAAGTTGAAGACTAAAGTTAATGTTTCATCAGGAAGGAATATTCTGTTATAAAATTGTTTACTTTAGAATGTGTTCTTTCTAAATAAAGTGTATTCAGAAAGTGCATAGAGAATTCTGAGAATTTCTTACATGAACTGTGTTTGATTGTGTTTTTATTACCTAATTTCTGATTCTCAAATTCACATTATACTTTGAATTTATGTGAACAAGTATTTTTTTATCCAATTTGGTCAGATCTTTAATGAGCCTAAATATGTCATGTAACGCATAGTTGTCAGTGTGACTGCTCCCCTTGCCCTGTGCTCTCTCCGCCCCCCCCCAAGAAAAAAGCACCTTCATAATTCAATTAAGCAACTGTGGTGCAGAAATTATGGAATTCCAAAGTCATTTCATATTATGCTACATGCTGGTAAACTTAAAGGATTCAAATGGTTTTTTGGAACACCTGGTACAGTGAGATAGTCTTTTAAGCACAGTTCCAATGAAATGCCATGAGGACTTGGGAGGGGGTGTGGGACAGTTGGTGGCTAACTTTCATTTTGATCTGTATTTACTGTGTTTAGAAAAAGAAAAAACCCAAACAAAAACCCCTCTTATTGTGATTATCTCATGTGAATATCTAATTTGCTTTCTGTATGTATGGAATGGACTAAAATTTAGATTTGGGAGTAGAGCTCCTTTTTTCCCTGTTTGTTTACAACTGCTGCAAACGAAGATGGTTATAATAGAGGCAAAATTTTATTTCAGAAAATAATAATTTAGTGGTTTTTCTAAGAAATAAGTGTGTTAAGAATGTAGCTATTTTTATTGTAGGAGAGCTAGTCTTACATTGAGCATTGGACGCTCAACTCATTTTAAGTCGTTCATCCATTTATATTGTCATTACTTATTAGCCTACTGACTACTCTGGCTTAAGCTTTTGATCTAGTTGTTTCTCTGGTGTCTAAAATAAGCTGCAGTGTGCCATGTCACGTGTCTGATACTGCTGGGAAAAGTGAATGCTGTAACATGTAAAATACCTAAAAGACCATTATGTGTGTTTTGACAGATTGGCAAAATGAGGTATGTCAGTGTTCGTGACTTTAAAGGGAAAGTCTTAATTGATATTAGAGAATATTGGATGGATCAAGAAGGTGAAATGAAGCCTGGCAGAAAAGGTATTGTTCTGCTTCGTGTTATTTTGTATTAAAACATTGTCTGCAGTTTGCTGGAGAACTTTGTGTATCAGACTTTTATGCTTTGTTGCTACATAATATTTTTAGAGTAGTATTTTTACATTTTTATAATTTTATTTTAACAAATGATTGGTTTTGTCTGTAGATTATAAACAAAAGCAAAGGGGCTTTCTTTGCCTGAGTCTGTTTTCCTAAATGGATCCTCCATGATTTATGGAAAACAAGGCATCAAATACAAGCAGATTTGGTATGGGAGTTACAAGCATAGCCATACTCCCTCCCTCCCCCCCCAATTAACAATGCAATTTCTTTCTATTATTACAATTGGTTTCTTATTTCAAAATTCACTGAAAAGATTTAACTTACTAATTTGTGATGTTATTTTCTTTAAAACAATTATGTCATTCAGTTTCTGTCAAATTTTAGTTGGAAAATATTAAAATGTTTAATGTGACTAATTTCGGAAAAAACATGTCAGGATTTTAATTGAGGTGAAAATACCTCAAGTGTTCAAGTTTTGGTACTGTGCTTCTACTCTGCAGCATGGCATAAGCCATTGTGCCTTTAATTGCCACTCCCATATCTGTTTTTTATGGCATGCCTTCACTGAACCATTTTCAGAACTTTGCCACCTGGAAGATGAGGATGCAAGGACAGTTATGGTAGTAGTGCTTTGCTTAATGTCATGTTGCTGCTGTTAGGAAAGCCTACTTTTAATTGGTTTTCATATTGCACGAAGAAAAGGGGTAAGTATTAAACAATTCTGCCCTGGAGATTGAAGACATTTAATGTAAAATCAGTATAAGGTTTGTTACAGTCTTCTGGTGTGTCCAGGAGCAACTCAGTGAATAGACATTTGGAACACTTGAGAAGCATTTTCAACATTTCTTAAATAACCACTGAGAACAGGTTTGTATGAACAGGTGTACTGGTACTGTACAGGAAAATTTCTTGGTTTGGGTTTGTTGTTGCTACTTAACAAAAAAGATTACGCTAACTCCTAAGGGCTTTAACCTGCTGTGTTTTGAGGTGGAAATCAAAAGTATATGCAGTTTGACAGGCAAACTACAATGGGATTTGATGGGCAGGCCTAGTGACAAAAATTGCATGATGTAGATAGAAATGCTTATTGGTGTGGCAAAAGAGACTGAACTTTATTAGGATAAAATTAATAGTAATATTATACAGTATGTGAGCCTAATGTTCCATTGATGGTCTTATGAGCTGCTTATCCAGCTATCCTGAAAACAATATAAGCAGTTGAGATTGTGTAAAAAAACATGAAAAAAAATTTGAGTTTTAAATTATTGTGTCAGATTGTTTCAAACAGCAGGTCTGAACCGCGTGCAGTTCAACTGGTATGTGGTCCAGGAATATCTTGATGACGTTTGGTCCCCTTATAATGGTTACCACACCTGATGCTGTTTTCAGAAGAAACCTGCCCTCTAAAGACTGGTGGAAAACTGCTTAGAGTAGCTCCATGCAGACTGCTTGCTGCTCAAAATTATGGTGGTGCTCTGGATGGTAGAGGGATAGACAGGGATGGTAGAAGTCAAAAAGGCAATAAGCCCCAGAACTGGAATTCAAAGTTTCACCTGTTTTCAGGTCCTGCTCCACCTGCAGGGAGAAAGCAATGAAGGAAGCCTGGTCACTGAGGGGGGAGAGTGAGGGTAAATAGTAGAAGAGCCTGGCTGGAGAGAGTATGAGAGGTAGGCCTGTGAGTCTGTACTTGCACAGAGTTGGCGTAGAAGTTGTAGGGGAAGAATGAGGAGACCAAAGCACAACGGAAACATGTGCCTGGACTCAAGTGTGAGGAAGTACAAATTTAAAACTGAGGAGGTGGGTTGTGGGGCAGTAAACGATTATTGATTGAATGTCACTAGAAACTATAGTGAACTTGAAGTGAAAAAATAACTTCCATGTTGGTTTGTGAGTGCTAGGGAATGGAATAGTCTCTCAAAATTGTTATTTATGATATGTGTTATTTACAGTGCTTTAAGAAACAGGAGGAAAAAAAAAACAACCCAGAGTTATGGTACTTTAAAAGCACATAGAAGTTCAGTCCCCAGAGGTATGGCTTTTAGGAGCCAACAGGAATACAGATGATTTCCTACTTCTCACCTGGGGCTTTTGTGCTGCCTTCTATCAAGGCCAGAGCTGTATTTCACTTCCTGTGTTTAGCCTAATACTTGTGAATGAATTTGTTACACTGTACTTACTTTCTTTGTAATTTATACTTGTCCAGAGATAAGCTGAAGTCTAAAGTTAAATTGAAGTGTTACAAATGAGTAGTTTCACTTTGTAACTGAGATGGTTGTTGAAGTAGCTCAAGCATTAATAGTTATGACATAGATGTTGTGTTTGAAACCAGTCTTAATAGCAATTTTGCAAGATCCTGCACCACAATTTTGGTTTTGTCTTAAGTGTTTATTTTTAATGCATTTCAGGTATTTCTTTAAATCCAGAACAGTGGAACCAGCTGAAGGAACAGATTTCTGATATTGATGATGCAGTAAGAAAACTGTAAAGACAGAGCCATACAGAAACTTTTATTTTAGTTGTTTAAAGCGGTCTTTTTACATTGGCTTTTGTTTTCTAAAATATTGTTTTCCAAGCTATTGTATATTTGGATTGCAAAACGATTTGTAAGATGAATACTTTTTTTATGTGCATTAAAAGTGTATTCTGAGTGAGGCTATTTGTGTATACTTTACTAAAAGGAAATGTGTTGCTTTCACCTCATGGTGTAAAATAAACAAATCAAATAATATGTAAAGCATACTTGTTTATGGCCTTTTGATTGAAGGTGTTTGCTGATAAGGCCACCTAATAGCTTTAGTCTTTGTTTTAGTTTCAGCTTAATTAACAGTTAATACGAATTTGTTTTCTGAGGCGGTTTCTTAAAATGTCTCCATTTATTTTTTCTTTTATTTCATACTTTTTGGTATTGCCCTGACAGCTTTCTGCTTTAAGACTTGATACAAACAGTGAATACTTGGTAAAACACATTTTTTGTAGATAACTTTAAATACTGTATTTGCAAATTTACCCTATTTATTCGGATGTAAACAGTCCTGAGTATATAGACTTTTTTTGCATTACTTGCATGAAGCATTATGCTAAACAGTAACACTTGAACACAAGCCACATGCTATTTCTTCCCATTTTTCTATAGCTTGCTTGACTTGGGAAATACAATTAGCCTTTTTTCTTGGACCCTAGATTTTAGAATGTGATGCATAAACTTCCACAGTAATAGACATATACCTCAGAGTAAGATAGTACTTAAAAGCTCCAAATGTGGTTATTAGTTAGGTACCCTTTTCAAGCTTTACATTAAATTCATTCTTGAACATGAACACATACTAACTAGTTATTCTATAGAAAAGAACAGTTAACCTGTCTTTGTAGGGCTTTTGTTCGTTTGAGACTATTGCATAAACAACAATGCTTAAACTAGGCTGTAACACAGGTTAAACAGTCAAACAGGGTTAAAATGGCGTCAGCCAAAATGCCTGGCTATCATGCTTCTGCCCTGTACACACTGCTTGCCCAGACCTCTTAACTTGGCTTGCTTTGTGTGGCTTACATGTGCACAGCTGTTTTATTTGTACAGAAGATACTTAGCGCTTACAGTGGAGCGCTGGTACATAGTGGATCATGACTCTAGCGAACTTTGCTTGTCATCCATTGTACTATTCTGGTAAGAGAAGCTTCTTGTCCAGTGGAAGCTCTATTAGACTAGATGCTGCCCCAGTTGAAGGGCTTCTTGGTAGGTGTCACAAACAATGGATTGAAGAAGGGAGAGTAAGATGTTTGAGTAGAACTAGGAGAGATAAGGGGCACACCAGTACCTAAATTAACGGCAAAAGATCAAAGTTAGCTGACACATAATAACTTCAATGAAGAAATGCACGTTAGCGGAATTGGAGAAGAGTTCATTTTCTGACTTCTTTCATCTTCTTTCTTCAATTAACTGAATTAACTTGATGAAAATAGACATTTCAAGGCTATGTAGTGAATGTACAACCTAATTGGTTCGGCTGTAATTTTCCCATTTGATGTTAATGTAGTTTTTAAATTTTGTATGGATAAACAGGATATACCATTTGTTTTATTTTGGAATATCTTAATATAATTGTTTATATTGCAGACACGCATAGAAGTGCCATATACAGACTGTTCCTGTGCTGCGGAGTTTATAATTCAATACAAATAGGTATTGAAGGGTGAGGAAGGGTGACTTCATCAAATTAAATATATATTACTTAATTTAAATATCAGATACATCCACCTGCTTTTTAACTTACCTATTGTTGACATATTACAAATAAAGTTAAGCTCTGCTTTTGTGTAGCTCAGGAAATTTTTAAGAACTGCTTGAGAGTGAGTAAAAGGGAGAAAAGATGTTTTGTGGTAGCAGATGCATTTTGGGGCACAGCATTTTTTTTGAGTGACTCTTAAAGGCGTGTAGGGGTATTTGGACCAAATAGAATAAATATGAAATAGGTGTTTTTTATTTGTGGTATGTATATGTGATTTTTTTCCTTTAAATCTGAAATTTTGCAACCAGATTTCACCCATTTTACCTCAAAACTTCCATGTGGCTACTTTAAAGTGCGTGATACATTAGAGGGAACGTTGTCCTCACTTCGATTACTGTGGTAGTAAGTCATTGGCAGTTGAGTATCAGAGTACAATATAATTTTTTTCAGGAAGGTGGAGAATTAATTTCGTTCATTTGCGGGGAGTAAGTGAAAAATTTTTAATATAGTGATTAGTTCTCTTGTGGAAACTGATGGTAGAGGTATTCAAAGAAATTAGTATTTGTTAACCAAGAACTATTAGTTCCTGTTATAGATAACGCCCTTGCTGAATTTGTGGTGATAATTACTGGACCTGTTTATGCCATTTTACTTGATAAAACTTTGGGCAGTTTGATTTTACTTAGCTTCTGTGTTTAAAAATAGTTTTCCATCTGCCAGTTATGTTTCTGCATGTAATAATGATAAAATACCATGTATTTTACCCGAGCCAGTCTTAACATCTGCATGAATGTCGTACAAAAAAGGTAACTAAATAAACCAGTCAGTTTCACAAATGAACTCCAAATGAGATGAGTTAAATTGTGAGGGAATTCATTGCACCTCAGATAACTGATGTGCTTGTTACTTGATAAAAATTTGACACATGCAGTGTTATTTTGAAATAAATAGTTGGTAGTGGTTTATCATGTAATTATCTACAGCTGCAGTCTTTCAATTTGAGAAGAAAATTCAGATTGTTTTTTTAATAAAGATTATTTTCTTGCAGACAAAATGGTAGTTATGGTACATGTAGAAGAGTCCATGGAAGAAAACTGCATGTATGAAAAGGCTGTGTAATGTGACGTAAAAACACTGCTCCCTTTCCCACTGAAGTGGCAAAAGAAAGATGCATTTGTTTCTTCATGTTTATGCAGGGCATATTAGCAATATGTTTTATAAGTTAAACCTACTGTGAAGCTTAGGAGGAAAAATAAATCACAGTTAGAGCTGCCAAAGTACCATATGTGTGATGAATCAAACTGTCATGTACAATGTTGCTCTTATGTAGAGGTGTTCATATTGAAATTAAACACAGTCCTAAGTTTGATATTTCTGTTAAAGGAAATGCCCCAGTTACTTCTTATGTGATCTGTTAGCAAAAAAAAAAAAGATGATTGTAATTCTGGTAACTCAAATGTCATATTGTTAATCATGTGGAATGTTACATGTTTTGCTCTGGGGGGATCTGCTGCAGAGAGGCCACTGGAAAGATGAGCCCTCCAACTGTAATTACCTTAATGTTCAAATAAAAAAATAGTTAAATGGCATATGTGTAATAACAATTTGAACACTTGGAAATAAATGAAGACTTCTGTTGACATAGTGTTATTTTTAGTAGAAATTTAGCTGCACTAAAGCTTACTTTTTCTTAAATCATTATGGAAATTGCTGTTTGTTCCTTGCAACCGTTGTAATTTGGAAATGTGAAAACTTAATCATCTTATATTTGGTCCATGTTTGTGGGTGGGGGATTGATTGTGTAACCCAGAGGGATAGAAGTTTTTCACTATGACAGAAGAACAAGTGTTATGTAAATACAGAAGCAGGAGATAGAAATGTGTTTTCAAACATCAAACAGAAGGAAAGTGCCTGGTAAGTCACTACTGTTCAGAAAATGGCTGATTATCTTTTTCAGTGGAGTTTCTTTTTGATGTGACAATAAATGTAACCATAGATTAGATAGAAAAAAGCTTCTCACCCATTTATTTGTTATCATTGGTCACTTAGATCAATGTAGTCTTCTTTAAGAAGAACGTTAATTTTTTTCACATGCTTGCTGTGACTGATTTGTAGGGAGTGGATTAATTGATTATAGCCTTGAATCTAACATTTTTCTGTTAGTTTAAGCAGCTTATAGCCACAGAAACAGAAATGACTGTGGATCAAAGGGAAGAAATGGAGTTTGGGGTTGATGGAGGGTCATCATGTCCTACTTATTTCTCATTTACTGCCATCCACTTACTGATAGGATTCATCTTTGACTGTAGCTCTGGTGACTGTATGGAAGAGCAATCAGGCAATGTTTTTCCTGTTGTGAATCAAGCCTGTATGTACCCTGCTGTCAATATTGTTATATTAGAAGTGTGAAGACACCTGCTGAAGAACTGAAATAAATGGTCCTTGGCTTAGTGATGGTTTATCAGGGAAGCTTAAATTGTGCTGTCTTGTGAGCAGAGGGACATGCTATTAGTCGTCGGGATAACTTAAAGGCTGAGAAGTTGGTGACAGCTGTTCCCTTGGTATTTCACTTCATTTAACAAAAATGTTATTTTTTGTAAGATCTGCTTATTTTGGTTTTCATTGTACTTTTCCTTTTAAATGAGTCCATATAGTTGTCATTGATGGGATGGCGAATGAGGTTGGAACTGAGGTTGGTTGAGGACTCAGGTGTTTAAAAATATTGTTATCCTTTGGAAGGAGGTGGGCTCTGAACTCTAAAGGTGACTAGAGCTTGCTGTAAAACTGCAAAAGTTGGAATGAACACTTCTTGGAAATCTCTAGCTGTATTTAGTAAGGCTAAATAAGAAAAACATTTTATGCCTCCTTGGCCAGCATTCCTAGTAGACTACTGTTACCAGTTCAGTTGGGCAGAAGTTAATGAGATAAAAACTGCTGAAGTAAAGAAATAGTAAGTTTTTACATAACCCTGTTACTGCTGTCATTATCTAAAGAAGTGTTTCATACCTCAAGAGTTTAAATGTTTTATGCTTTCACTAATAGGCTAATGT